TTTTTTTTTTTTTTTTTTTTTGTGATACAAAACGTCATTTCCCTGCATCCGCATGGCCTTCAGAAGCGTCGCGAGAGGCCGAATAGAGCGGAAGGAGCGACGATGCCGTCCTGTCTCACAAAGCCGACACAGTGCCCGGTAGTTTAGTTAACTGGGTGCCATTTAAAAACAGTTTTTGATCTAGAAGTATAAATGAGCAACAGGCTGAGACTAAAATCTGGTGAGATCAAAGCCGGGGTTGAGAAAAGATCCATCTAAATCGCTCCCCAACCTCAGGGGAGCTCAGAGAACCCGGATGTTTCCGGCCGGATGGCAGCTGGCGGGCCTCTCTGGAAATGGGAGGTACACTGTAAAGCAGACCCTGGCATTTCAGCAGCAAGACCACACCAACACTATACAAGAAATAGGAGTAGTGCCCTATCTTTAAAAAGAAATGGAATTATGGAAATTCCAACATCTAGTCAGGTTATCAAATCCAACGTCAAGGTCAGGAAATGCTTCTCTTTCATGTAACCTACCCTCACCCTGTTTGAGACCCTGAGTTGTTCTGACACTGGCAGGGACGGAAGACAACCAGGTATGATCGGTAGCATTATACTCATTCCAAGAACATGACGATCAGTTAAAACCTTGACCTTTCTTAGGGTAAAGGGGAACGACCTCAATTCCAGTGCCCTGCATGTCATCTGGAATCGTAATTCTATTTGAACGAGAGAATCCAAAATTCCTAAGTCAACTCAGCTGGCAGAACAATTAAGAACACGTGTGTGTTGGGGCGCCTGGGTGGCTCAGTCGGTTAAGCGGCCGACTTCGGCTCAGGTCATGATCTCGCGGTCCGTGAGTTCAAGCCCCGCGTCGGGCTCTGTGCTGACAGCTCAGAGCCTGGAGCCTGCTTCGGATTCTGTGTCTCCCTCTCTCTCTGACCCTCCCCCATTCATGCTTTGTCTCTCTCTGTCTCAAAAATAAATAAACGTTAAAAAAAAAATTAAAAAAAAAAAGAACACGTGTGTGTTTATGATGCCTCGTGTAAGATGATGTAAAGCACCATACAAATCTCAAGAGTTGCTGTTGCTGCTATCTTTGCTCACTGAGGTGTATTTTGGGGAGCTATGCGACATATTTCAGTGAATGAGGAGCTAGCGGATGGGGTGTGCCATGCTTTGACAGTGTTCATGGTTTTCACATGGAGGCGAGCTAGGCAGGGTGTGTGGGTCCCAGCGAAATGGGCTGAGACACAGAACTGATGCAGGAACCAGAGACGGAGGACGAGGCAGTCATGGCAGGAAGGTGCTCGTGTGGACAGGACCAAGGCACTGGGTGACAGGCAGGAAGACAACAGCTTCTTGGGTATGGCTGGCTGGCCAATCCCAAGAACCCCAGGAGCCAAGCAAGGACTAATTCTAGGTCCTACCCCTAAACAGGGTGAGGGGGGCGGTGAAAAGTCTTAGTTTTGGCTAGAGATGATCAGGATTGGCTTGGCCTTGGGCTGGTGGGGAGGGGGTGGTGGGAGGTGATTCTTGCTGAGCTGGTGCTCAATGCCCACAGATGAACCTCTGACTTAGGACAAAAACTCAGGATAATAATACATATACCCCAGGCGGTATATTTCCCAATTGGGAATAATTTCCCAACTGGGATAATCTTCCCAATTATCATTCAGCTGAATTCCTAGGGGTTCATCAAAAGAATAACTAAGAGGAAAAGCGGAAAATGATCAACAAGGCATTCTAAAAATAACAACGTATACCATCCATTACTTTCCTTGTTATCTATTCCTGAATAAAATTGACTATGATAACCGGAAGTTAGTAACGGAAAGAGAACATACAGAGGATTCTGGGGGTGCTGGCAATGCTATGCTTCAGGACCTGAATGCTCATTATATGGGTATCTTCATTTCACGAAATTTCATTGCACTGTACTCTTGTACGTTCTATCTCAGTAAGAAAGGGAGGGAAGGAGAAAGACCGACTCTGATCATCTTAAGGGACTGACTTGTGGCTGTTAAAAAGAAGTACACTTTCTGGGTTTTATCTACTATAAGATTTACTGAGGGGGGGAAAAAGCAGAGCAAAAACCCAAAGACACGTACTGATTATTTCCCCAGGGGAAATGGTTAATTACACATTGCAAATTAACTTTCTCTAATACCTTAGAGATATTTCTGAGAAGAAGAGAATTCTGGGGAAAGGAAATCTCAGATAGAGAGATAGGAAGAGATATAGATAGACAGATACAAATATAAAAAGTAACAATCCAAGCATCTCCAAAATTAGGTCCTATGA